TGTGAAAGGCAAGCGAACTCATTGGCTCACATCTCAATAAGCTTCAGTAATAGCTGAATAAATTGACAGCACTATGAGGTGATGAAGTGCCTATCCAACAACCACAACAACAACAGCTGCAACAACAACAACAAAAAAGCATCAGTCGTCGTCAACAGGAGAAATGTGAAATAAGTCATCTGTCTCACTTATCTAGGCAGCATCATTTCAACTACAGGTGGCACAGATGAGGATGTCAGAGGTGGGACTGGAAAAGCAAGACAGACCTCCCTTCACCACTCTGAAATCAGTTCGCACATCTGCTGCACACAGTATGAGAAATAACATCCAAATCGTCAATGTTAATGCCAAGTTATTCAGTTCTTCTGTATGGTCGAGAGACCTGACGCGTCACGAAAGCATCTCCAGCTGGGTACTGCAGACTTTCAATCAACAATCGCCTTAGCTGGCTTCATACCGAAGATCAGGCGGCTGGCCACAAAGGATGAGCAAGCAACAGAGAATTAATTCAACGAACAAACCAATCACATATTGCCTAACGAATAAACAGGAGAAAATAGAGGTGGATGGGACATACACTGTGGAGACCGTCGATTAACACCAGCCGATAGGTCTCTCAGTGGGAACCAAATTGGAGACAACCAATTCGGCTTGAATTCGAGATTAACGTGGATGAAATCATGTGAGGGGGAGATGAAGGTTTGTGAGCAATAGTGAATGTAGTTAAAAATGACTACAGAGAATAGGGTGGAACAAGAATGTGCAACTGCAGCCATCCATGTATTCCACTCAGAAATTAGGGAAAAATAATAATAGAGTTCACAAATGAAACAGGCTCAGAAGAGTGGAAGTGTGTCTGCTATTCGATAACAGAACACACTCTCAATTCATGATAGTCAGTTTGGCTTGAGAAATCTTTCAAAATCTTATAGAACATGAGATCGAACTCCCCAAAAAATGTTATATCAAGACATCGCGTCATAGCAGAAGCATCAACAATCCAAAAATTCAAACCAACCCTATGTATTCCAGAGCAGTGTGTTCAGTCTCCGACTTTGTCAAGGTCATCGAAACTAGTCGAAATAAAAATATTTATTATTATTAACATAACTATAGTTTAATAACGTTTATTCATCAGATTTCATGTTTATTTGCTTATCTTGCTCTCTGTTTGTATTACTTAGCTCTATTTTATCATTCACTTTACTCTGATGGCCTCTTGGAGATAATTCTGAACCCTGAAAATACTCACTGATTGAGTCATGAAGAAAATAATAGACAGTTCAGTGAGGAAAATTTTCAGTATCGACGAAATCGTCTTCAGGATCTGTACAGTTATATTTGCATTTACCGAAAACCCATAGTAGTCCATTACTATGTAACAGGGGGTTGAATAATTGATAAAACTACTCAGAGGTGGCATCCAAAGTAAAAATTTAAATGTAACTTCAGTTACTTACTTAAAGACACGATGGAAGAAAGTGTAAGAAATTTGATAAAAATTAATATTAAAACAATTAGTCCCTTTGATATATTTGAATATGGCATTTAGGAGACAAATTTCGCGAGATAATATCATTTCGTAGTTTCTTCACAACCGCTTTACAACTAACATGGTTAACAATAATAAAATGTGGATCGTGACAATTACTCAATTAAATAAAAAACAAAAGTACATACTAGTGACCTATCATATTTAAAAGGTCATGTAGTCCATGGTAGGCGAAGATTGATGTCTATTGTTTTTGTACACACAGTTTAGGCTGTATGTGATTAATCCAAAGTGCTTCCATCACCTTTTTACAACCTTCAATTAAAGTTATGTGAAATAATTGTGAAACAGTCATTAATATTGACTTTGTGACCTGATATCAACAGAACATTAGACCCAATAATCTATAACATGCTAAAGTTTCCAAACTGAATTGACAATACCGTTTGAAACAAACTCACTGTTATTAGTATTTATTATTATTATTACTATTATTATTATTACTATATCTAATAATTATGTCGTTAATGTGGACAAATTTCTCCGATTAATTTTTGTTTTAAATTTTTAATTTTATATACACTTTGAGTAAATCAGATGCAATATTGTGACAAATGCTGAGAATTCCATTCTGTATTATAAGTACTGTTTTTGGAATAAAGTAAATTATTATTATTATTATTATTATTATTATTATTATATTAATAAGTGTTTTGCAATGGATGATGCTGGCTTTCTATTCAGATTACTCGCATTGGGATTTTCTGTATGATTTAGTAGCCATTTTGGAACATGTTCTTTTCGACCACGACATTGGAACATTCTGTTGGTTCTACCTATATAGGTGTCACCGCAGCTGCAGGTGAACTTGTAGATACAGTTTGAACTAGAGTCCACAGAATTTCGTGCTTTAATCATAGGTACAGGGATCGAAAATGTTCAGCAAGTGAGAGAAAGAGATGCGGCGTAGAATGTGCGTTTGATGGCTGACCGAAGTCTTTGGGCTGTCAAATGCATAATCTGGTCACCCTTCAATGGCAGGTTAATAAAGATAGCTTTCTTTGGTACAGTAGCTCTCTTTTCGAGATGTGGTCTTTCTTTACTGTGACAAGTGATAACGTTTTCCGGATAACCATTAGCTAATAAAACTGAATATGTATGTCGGAACTCATCCATCAATTTGTCAGTCGTGCATATTTTTCTGGCCCTTGACAACAAACATTTCAATAGGGAACGTTTATACTGGATTAGCAGTCCATCTGAGGAAATCATCAAGTGACATCACTAGACAAGCGCTCGAGTGGAACCCGAAAGGGAAGCGGCGAGTTGGTGGTCCAAGGGTGACTTGGAAGAAGTCATGTGAAGAGGAGATGAAAACGTGTGGGTAGATTTGGAGCCGGGAAAGACTCAATCAGAGAACCGAACGGCTGAAGCATTCTTGTTTTCTTTTCCAGGTGCGACGGGCACTGGACAAGAAACAAACGAATAATGAGATCCAGGGAACAACATCACAGAAGCCATGTACAAACACCTCATTAGCATAGGCAGACATCCCAGTTGGCACTCCACCAAGCCGCTCGGAAGAGTTTTTCTCGCCCTTAAGGGAAGCATCGAGTTTTTTACTTCCGGCTGGTTCTGTCTAAGGGTCCTCACAACCCCACTAGGGGGGGAGTGAGCTGTAGCGGTAAATGATTCCTCAAAATTATTGACCACAGCAATCATCACTCAACATTGAATGCTGACCCTCACTTTTTAAGTCGACTTGTTTAGCTGAAGGCTTCTGGTCAAGCATCCTTGCCATTTGCTACTCCGTCGTGTCACGTGCGTGCACGATCACTAGCTAGCTAAGCACTCAAAACGGTTTACTATTTGGTCCCGAAATATATCACGTACTTTGGACTATCATTTGTGGCGTTTTGCTTTGTCTTTGGTACACGAAGAGCGAATACTATAGTTGTTGGTTTAAGATCTTGCGTTAGTATACTCCGTACAATTCGCGAACGTCGATACCGTCAACCTCTAAAATATAATACATAAGGTTATATGTTAATAGGACCCACAGAAATCATTCAATTTGAAATCTTACCTAATTTCCGTATTCTGAACAAATAGAAGTATGAAGCTTACAAAAATTAAACAAACTTCGTTATTTAGAAAATATAAATTGTCAAAAGAATTTCTACGCTATGCAAACCACTTTTGAAATCAACTGAACACTCGAATGTTCACGCATGTAAATGATGACGACGAAAGGTGTAATTATGTAATTTCTTGCTCTGGAGGGCAAGTTAATCTTAGTACACCACATACTACCAACTTCATATAATTAATCCCAGCACCACTCCTTTTGGAGTCAACCAATGCTATGACAGTCGAGTGGCGAAACGAACTAAGGAAAAGTTTACCGAAGACCAGGAACCTTTACTTCACAACTAAGAAGCTAGCACAAAGAAATCAAGCTGGTGTACACTTGCTCGTGAAAAGCGATATTAGATTTCGGACGCATTTTAGCGAGATTTCAAATTTTGATCGCCACATAGCGTGTGCTTAAAGGCTTGTGAATTGTAAAGCATGGCATGTTAGGCGGTTTTCTAATGTTTGAACTATACGGCCAAGTTAAACTTGAATCACCACTAACTACTAATGGAGTGCGACCGCATTAATGACCTTGAAACGCTGACAGAGCAGGTGAGTGAAACCTGGCTAATAATGTCATCATCATCAATAAAGTATGCTCATCAAAGTGGTACGCTACTAAATGGGATATCTGGCAAGTTTCACCTTAGGTTTGGGAAAGATTAGGTTAAGCTTTGAGCAAAGGGCAAGTTAGGGTTAGGTTAATCTATGAAAGGTGACATTTGGGTTAGTTCAAGCTAGATTAGGGTTAGTTTAGGAATATTTTCAAGTTAGGGCTAGGTTCAGAAAAGATTAGGGTTATTGTTAGGGTTAGAAGACCTAAATAATTACATGCACAGAATGGTGTTAAATTAGTCTGTTGATATAAGAATAGAATTTGTGCACTGTGGTAGAGTATGATTCCATTGTGGGTAACATTTATTTTGATAAAGTCTCAGGGTGTTATACAGTAATATTTACTCATTACCTTTCGAGCACAATCTACTGCTCAGAAAATATTACTGTATTACACTATAAGACTTCATAAAAATAAGTTGTACACACAATGGAATTATACTCTGTTGATACTCCAATCGAAAACTAAAGGTTGTTTTTATCACATGCGAGGGGATGGTATCCTCTATAACACTTTTCCACAGCTTTGTGAATATTTTTAATAACTTTTATGTATTCCACACACAAAAAAGGTTTCTTCACGTGATTGGTGAGTTTGAGGTAATTCACTGATTGGTAGTTAGTGGTGCTTAAAGTGTAAATTTGCCACCAATGCTAGTCTAATTTCAGCTTGGCACAGTAGCGTGCAGCGATTGGTCAACCAAGACGATTTGTTGCAAATACAATCTTTGACTTTAAATCTTCTTTCTTACTAGCACGCGATACTTCTGCGGTCAATCTGCTAACGTGCGCATCGCACTCCGTTTCAGATCGTCACCCGACAACTGAGATTAAAAGCGTATAGTGGTTTTTCATAGAGTTGCATGCGTGAACATTCGAGTGTTTAGTTGATTTAAAAAGTGGTTTGCATAGCGTAGAAATTCTTTTGACATTTTATATTTTCTAAATAACGAAGTTTGTTTAATTCTTGTAAGCTTCATACTTCTATTTGTTCAGAATTCGGAAATTAGGTAAGATTTCAAATTGAATGATTTCTGTGGGTCCTATTAACATATAACCTTATGTATTGTATCTTTATAGCATTGCCTTACGAACCACAACTGGTTTTTCAAGTATTCGTCTATCAAACTAATTGACATTCAGTCTTCATTCTACAATGTTGGATGAAACGCCGGAAAATCCTAGATTCAGACTTACCGAGAGTGCACAATTTCAAAACTCATCTGAGAGACAGCCCACTAAATCCCCCAGTTTGATGAAGTCATTTTACGAACTTGGTCGTTTCGGTAAACCAATAGGTAATTGGTTTATTTATTTTCCCTGCATATGGGGCATCGCAATGGCTGCACCACCTGGACAACTACCAGACGTCTACATGTTAGCCCTATTTGGTGTTATCTGCGTGGTGATTCGAAGCTCTGGATGCACTATAAATGACGTGTTGGATCAGAAGTATGATAGGCTTGTTGAGCGGACAAAAGGCCGTCCTTTGGCCTCGGGTTCTATAACGAACTGCCAAGCTCTTTTATTTTTTGGCTTGCAGCTATTGGTTTTATTTGTGCTCTTGTTGCAATTGGGCTGGTACAGGTTGGTTCTGATATTGCTATAAGTTACTTCCTCAAGTGTACTTATTGGTTTTCTGCTTATGGTTCCTGCTACTATATATCCCTTGTTCAAACGATTCACTTATTGGCCGCAACTTTTTCTCGGTAAGAATCATGAGAATGTTTTCTGACCTCTGTGTGGCGTCACGTTGTATGTTTAACGTTGAACTGGGGATAGTTTGTCAGCTGTATGTTTGATGCTGTCGCTCCGACATTATCAATAATTGCTTCTCGAGAGTTAATTGGATTGCTTGACTGTATTTGACTGCTTGATATTTGTTGTATGTGCTAGCCTAGCATTGCCTAGAAAACCCGTGTGGCTTTTCATTTTGTTTTTAAAGTTAAAGACTACGTTTATTTGTTCTGTATAGGTCTTACAGTCAACTGGGGTGCTATTATGGCCTATGCTGCCACCGTGGGTTATTTTAACCTTTCTATCACATTTCCTCTGTATCTGGCTGGCGTCAATTGGACAGTGATTTACGACACAATATATGCATATCAGGTTTGTGCACGTAGTGCATTGTTAAAGTTTCTCTTGCTTCTAGGACATTGATGATGACATCCGTATAGGTGTCAAATCAACTGCCATTCTATTTGGAGAGAAAACTAAATCATATTTGGTCCTTTTCCACACGGGAATGACAGTGTGTTTTCTCACTGCTGGAATTAATGCTGGAGCTGGTTGGATTTATTACCTTGGGACTTTATGCACTCTGTTGCATATAGCCAATATGGTGAGTTAGTGCTTGATTTTCACTAATGTGTATGTTTACATATGACATTCTTCTAAATCTCTCTGGTTTAGGCTACAAAGGTCCGCAATAATTATTTGTTATATCATTATTCCCTTGGGTTATGTGTGGAACATAGGGCCTCAGCTCTATATCTCTATTTCATCCTGTTCTCTACAACCCTGTATAGCTGGCTGCATGAATGCCAGTAGGCTTAGAGTGGGCAGGGGCATGATTACGCGCCAATTCTTATCGAAGTCTTTGTCGCTCTCCTCTGGCAGTTTGACAACGTGGCCTTTGTTCCAATCAGTGGTTACCTCCCCTTCTTTCCAGACATTAAACATTAGTGGCATGAGGATATCTGCTTTGGTCTCGTGATGTGTCTACAGTGCTTCTGGAGGGATTGTATCCTGTTCTTCTGCTTTCCTGGTTCAATTTCATTGGCTTCGTTGTATTCAAGACTTCTGTTTCTGTCAAAGGATTAGTGTTTACTGAGAGTTCTGTGGGTGTTGGTCGTATTCCTGGACGAGTTGCAGGTGGTAGTAGTTTCAGGAGTCCTTTGAAGTGATCAGCCCACCGTTTCCTTTGTTTCTCCTCTCTATTAATTGAGTTCCCCTGATTATCTTTCATTCCTTTCGTCTGTGTTGATCTCTTCCATGATAGCGAGCAGCGTGGTTACCTGACATACTGTTCTCAGGTCTCTTTTGCCTGCAGCCTGCCTACCTGTTCTGCTTCAGTTGGTAGTCCGTAATAATAGAGGACGAGAATTTATGTGCATGAGAAGCCGATTTTCTGAAGTTTGCTAGCTCAACTAATACCAGGCCATAGCATGCCGCAGTCTGATCACACTAATTCCCACCGGTGTCACAAGTCTGAGTATACAGTAAATTGGTGTGTGCAACAGATGTTTTCACCAGTTTTGTGGATGAAGTTTTATAATGTACTATCTTATTGTTAAACTTTTCGATACCTTTGCAAAACTATGCATTCGTTCAAAACAAGGGAATGTGGTAGGTCATCAATGTGCACACCGGAGTTATGCAAACAAACGAAAATTATTCAACCACTTCTACTATCATGGTGGTGCACGCCACCAATTTTATATAGGAGCATTTAATGTTAGGACACTTTGCCAAATAGGACAACAAGCATCACTAGCCAAGACTCTGGCATCCCGAGCCATTGATGTATGTTGTGTTTCAGAAACACGCATACAAGACCCAAGTGTGGTTATTCACCTAACCCCACCTGGCCAACAGGATGAATCTGCAAAATTCACCTTGAGGGTGTCAGGAGATGCGACGGCTAGCTCACGAGGATTAGCTGGTGTTGGGATAGCTTTAAGTACTAGAGCAGAAAAGACATTACTTGACTGGATCCCGGTAGATAGCCGAATGTGCGCTGTCCGCCTGAACGGATCAGTGAAAAGGAGAAAGGACTGCACTACTCGCCGATGCCTTTTCGTAATCTCCGCCTACGCCCCCACTGACTGCAGTTCGGATGAAACGAAGGACGAGTTCTACCAAAAGCTGTCTAGTTTGCTGCGAAAGGCTAGACGCTCAGATATAGTCGTTTTAGCTGGTGACTTTAATGCTCAAGTAGGGAAATTGTGTCAATCTGAGAAGAATGTCGGTGGCACATACGGAATTCCGTGCCAGCGAACCGACAACGGTGACCGTCTCCTACAGCTCTGTTCAGATAATCATTTGTATCTTGTAAGCACTAACTTCAAACACAAGGAGAGACACTGTTTGACCTGGCGACCCCCATCATCAAATCAACGCTGGACACAAATAGACCACATAGCAATAAGCTATCGTTGGCGTGGGTCGGTAGGAGATTGTCGCTCCTTCTGGAACACGTGTGTAGACACCGATCACGCACTGGTCCGCGCTCGTGTGTGCTTACGACTGAACGGACGTAGGAAACAGCTAGCGGTAAACCTATCACGTCCCCAGCTCGACCAGGGAACTAAGTCCCTATTTGAGGAAGAACTAGCTAAACACATATCTGAGTTTGACAGCTGCGCTCACCCTGAAGAAGCCTGGAAGAATATTCAGTCAGCCATAGATACAGCTGTAAAAGCTGTGAATAAGGTAAATCCAAAGGTGAGTAAAAACCATTGGATTTCGACTGCCTCATCTGAACTGATAGATGCTAGAAGACTTATTCCGGCGAGCTCCGAATTCAATGAGGAGCGAAAGCTGCACAAGAGGAAACTTACGAAAAGTCTCCGCAAGGACCGTGAACAGTGGTGGTTGACAAAGGCGAAAGAGATGGAAAAAGCATCGGCGATAGGCAACACCAGACAACTATTCAGGCTTATCAGGGAAACAGGTGGTAAAAAACAAATGATAAGCGAAACAATCTCCGAGAAAAATGGCACCATAATTAGCTCCCAGGATAGACGTCTGGAGCGCTGGAAAGAACACTATGAGGAGAAGTTTAATTGGCCCACAGCCACACTTAACCTACCGGACATCCAACACCTCCCTGAATGGGAGATAGATACAGGTCCTCCGTCCTTAACCGAGGTTACTAAAGCTGTCACCAATCTGAAGCTAGGCAAAGCAGCGGGACCTGATTTATTGACTCCAGAGGTATTTAAGTACGGAGGCGACAGTTTACTGTCTGCGTTAACGGAGGTTCTAGGCAGCGTCTGGGAATCAGAGGAAGTCCCATCGGGTTGGTGTAAGTCACTGATCATCCCGATATACAAGAAGGGGGACAAGTCGTCTTGTGATAATCACAGAAGGATTAGCTTGACTAATATAGTATCTAAAATCCTAGGCTCAATAATACTGCGTAGATTAAGTGGTGCTCGGGAGACACAAACACGTGAAAACCAGGCAGGTTTTAGGCCAGGTAGAGGGTGTATTGATCACATCTTAACCCTTCGACAGATTCTAGAACATAGGCATTCCTACCGGCGTCCGACAATCATTATATTTCTTGACCTAAAGGCGGAATTCGGTTCTGTCGACCGGGAGGTTCTCTGGCGATGCTTGGCTGTAAAGGGAATGCCAAGAAAATACATTGCACTGATTAAGGCACTCTACTCGTACTCATGCAGCCAGGTGAAGGCTTACGGCGAGTTGTCATCTGAAGTGGTGACGACTAGTGGCGTCCGTCAAGGATGCCCATTATCCCCATTCCTATTCAATTTCATCATAGATGTACTAATGGACTTAACCCTAACTCCCTTCAGCGACTCAGGGATTGACTTGCTACCAGGGAAGAATCTCGTTGACTTAGAATATGCGGACGATATAGTCCTTCTAGGCGAGGACTCTGACAAAATGCAGAGTCTACTGAACACCCTGAGCAACAATCTCCGTATGTTTGGCATGCGATTCGCCCCTATAAAATGTAAGATGATGCTGCAGGATTGGACTTTATCGACCCCTAGATTAGAAATAGGAAGTGAAGTGGTAGAACACGTTGACCGCTTCAATTACTTGGGAAGTACCATCAGCCCCAACGGGTTGATCTCCGACGAAATTTCAGCACGAATACAGAGGGCTAGGTTCGCATTCGCCAGTTTTCGCCGTCTCTGGCGTAGACGCGATATCCGACTATCGACCAAAGGGCGTGTGTACTGCTCAACAGTCCGCTCCATCCTCCTTTATGGCTGTGAGACCTGGCCATTGAGAGAGGAAGACATGAAAAGATTATCTGTGTTCGATCATAGGTGTCTGCGTTCTATCTCCCGCGTGAAGTGGTATAATAAGGTGAGCAATATGGAGGTTAGGCGTCGAGTGCTAGGTAAGGCGGGGAAATCAATCGACGAGACTGTGAAATTACTTCGACTGAGATGGTTAGGACATGTGCTACGTATGCCTAGTCATCGCCTTCCTCGACAATGGGCAATGTTAGCTGATATAGGGTCAGGCTGGAAAAGAGCTAGCGGCGGTCAAACCAAAACATGGCACCAATCAATGAAATCCACAACAGTTAATCTAAGCCACGTAGGAAGATGTAGACTTCCTGGTTGGGGCCCTCGGGATGGTAAAAACCAATGATTGGAAACAATTGGTGACATGGCTCAAAATCGTTCTCAGTGGCGCAGATGCATCCACTCCTTGTGACTTATGATTTCCAATTAAACTTTTGTTCTCCGTTATTACTATTCCTTTGTCTCACACCACTGTTTACTGTCTATATTATGCATTTCTTCTACTTCCTTCTCTTGCTTTGCGTGCTACGTAGATTGTGGCGACTTGAACTGCCGCACATATGTGCAAAGTCCTATGTCGAAAACCGACCGACCGACCGACTATCATGGTGGCAAACTTGTTGATTTCCACCAACCTGATTTTTGTTTGTGTGTTTGTTTGCTTTTCCATCTTTTAACTCCTGCATTACTTGAGAACTCTTAGGTGATTACATTTTCGCTCTCGTTTCGATGCGCATCGTGATTACAATTCATTCATTAAACTCACCATCTCTATTATTATGTGACACTGATAAACATACCTATTCAGCTCCTTTCATACACTGACTGATATTAACAGCCATGTTTGTGACAACTCATCACTTTTGTTACTACCCTCTTTCATGAAAACTTGCACATTAGGGGGATTGTACAGCTAGAGAGGGAAATGAATTCGCTGAAAAGAGCCTCTTCACTGAACAACGTGTTTTGTTTTCGCCAATGTCTAGATGAGAATTATTCACGAAATCGCATCACATCACATCAAATCAAATCAAATCAAATCAAAAGTACCCATAATACACTTAGAGTATTCTGCCTACTCACTTACAAGTCCTGTTATCCTTCATGGCTTCTTAAAGTGTTTGTCTTTTTGACTAGCATATCTGATTAGGATATTTTTATTTTCTTTCTTATGCAGTCAGCATTTTATTTACTTTTAGATTCGAAATGTAGATTTGAAGAATCCTGCTTCATGTTTGCAGACGTTTGGAATCACTAGAACATCTGGTCTCTTGTTCTCTCTTACTATTGTACTCGATAACATATTTGGCTAACTTCATCCCATAATTGTATCACGATTAATTAAAAATAAATATTTCTTTCAACAGGCAACTAAGTGAATTGAACTTGTCTTATTTTCTAAGTCTTCGTAAATATGTCTAAGTATAAGTGCAGTTCAGTTTATTTTAATTTATTTTAGTCACATGCAGACAAAGTAGGGTGGTGGAATAGAAGGCAAATATGCGTCAATGGTTCAGTGATAGAACACTCTCCAACCACACTCCGGCCGGGTTCGATTCCTGGTCAATGAAACATCAGACCTCATTCACTTTGTAGTAAAATCGATGGAGAGAGGAAGCTTGGCTGTGTGGCTGAAAACGAACACCACTGCTACTGAAACGTCGAAGCTGAAGCTTGAGTGCACACGTTCCACTCGGAACACAAAGGAATAGGAAAAGAAATAAAGTGTGGCATCGGCTACTGTGTGTGACCGGAAATTAACAGTGTTTATTCGATATACCACACAGCGACACAGCATTATTCACTGGACGAGAATGTTTCGAACACAATCGATTATTGTTCATAATCACATCATTTGTGTGTATTGAGAAAGAATATTAACAAGAAAAACTTACTGGATTTAGGATACGATAAAGAGTGAATGCATCTGCGTAATTTGTAATGGTTTTAAATCAAAGCACTAATAGTGTTCAGCCATTGGTTCTTTGCATCCTGAAGAACCCACTGAGGCAGTCTACACATTTTCACATTGCTCAAACCAACAATTGAAGACTTCATTGGACTGAAGCCACGTTTCATTTTGACTACCCCTGAGTATTTTCCAACCTATTCTGGTATCAGCTAACGAAGATCCTCGAGGAAGACGGTGGATCGGTATGCGCAACACGTGGCATAACCATCTCAGCAATTGTACCTGAACAACTGCATTGATTCACTCACCCTCATTACCTATCGCATCATGCCTAAGCTCAGTATCGCTCACCACGCCACACCACACCACACCACACTGTTTAACACGGGAGAAGACTTTCTGAAAGCATGATGAAGAGTAGGCTTATTGCATGGGAATGTGCTTTCTTCCCTGCAGCGTTGAAGAATGCGCAAGATGTTTGAAGCAGTATCAAGTAGTATGCAGTTGGTAATAACAGAGTAACTTCGAATCTGCTTCGAGAGATTATTGAGATTTAAGAAAGGTGAAGTTGAGAGATGTCTAATGAGATTTACTATGACTGAGATCTTTATCTGTGTGATTGATGAGCGTATCAGAACAATTCTATGTTAGTTTATAATCTGCATATTTCCGAAATCTTAGGATGACATGTCTAGAAGTAGTTTTAGTATTTCTCAACACTGCATGGAGACGTATCCTGACAGTCTCATTTAACTTCAGGAACGAGAGCTGATACTGTTGACTATCGAGCAATCAATGGAACGCTGAAATGTACAATTAGAGTATTATTATGTATCATCTGACAGTCTCTTCAGTGTGTGTCCAACTCATCTCAATTTTCTTCTGCATATTTCATCAACTCGTTCCCAGAGTCTATTGATGCAAATTCTCTCCGTCTGGCCATGTGATCCTCGGTATGCAGCCAGCGAATACAGCTGTTGATAAAAGTGAGCAGCCTGTTGGAAATTCCCTCCGTGACGCTCAGTGTAATTTTCTCACCCACATGGAAGTATTGACTGACTCACTGACTGACTGACTTTACATTCCTGCTGAAAATCATAATTCTCTTCTTAGTGATGAGTGCAGAGTATTTCCGAGCTGAATGTCTGTCTTGCTTTTCCAGTGCTGACTGGTTTGTATTCACATCGTCATCGGTGCCATCTGGCTGTATATTTGAAATGATGCTCTGTAGATGTACATAGGAAGCTACCTCCTTCGACTTTCTCCCGTTGACAACGATTAGTGCAAGTTGTTGGTTGATTATCCTCACTGCCTGCGTCTTCTCTATCTTCATTTGAACTCCTGTCTTTCCTGCTTCTTTGGCTGCAAGTTTTCAAGTTTCTGTGATATTCGCTGCAATTCGTCGTTGAAATGCAGACCTGCCAGATTCCTGTGATGTATGAATATGTGTATGCATCAGATTTAGAAATGTAGAGCGAATGTAACACGATAGTGTATCAGGTGGAGTGAATGCTTGTCCCCCTGACTTCAACTTAATCAGTCAACTTAATCAATGACTGTCAACACCCAGTGTTGAATGATGATTTTGGCACTGATTATTCACTAAACTAGAAACTAAATTTACGTCGAACGTGGCACGGATATTCAAATCCGAACAACTTCTATCTGGCTTGAAACTGTCATCATTATTCAAGAAATCAATTACAATGAAATGTCTACAGGTTTGATATTTGCTGAAACGACCAGCTTCAGTAATCGGGCCTCGAAATATTTCTGTTACTGTTACTGTTATTTCAGCTGGAGTTAGGATTGTAGAAAAGGGAAGGGATCTATCTGCAGGTTTCATCATGAGTTGACATCAGTTAGATAATCATTGGAAAACATGGGAATCCTGGACGGCTATTTCGTCGTAGATCAGGATCCTTCACAGTTCGCACCTATCGGGGTTAAATCAAAAGACGAATCAATCCACGAGTGCGTTCATAGCTGGGTGAAGACATGTAAGCGGGTGTAGACTATTCGACTGAGATCCACGAGACGCTATAAATCAACCTCTGGAAACTGTTGTTAGTGTGTCTCAAAATCATTTGAATCACGCACACATATTGAGAATTATTCACTTTCCCGTCGAAATCATCTTCATAGGCTGTACAATCAATCATATTAATGCCTACCGAACACGTACGGTAGTCCATTATCAAGTAATAGAGACATGAGTATGCAACTGTCAATACACGAAATCCGATCCACTCGTTATCTTCAAGAATAAGAATGAGAAACGCCAGTGACATAATCGATGGTGAACTGGAGCGACTCTGACAAGTCCTCATGGACAATGGATGTCCTCCAAGAATTATCGAGTTGAACACGAAAGTAAAGCGGAACTGGAAAAAACGCAGGCGATGCCGAAGAAACTGCAGTTTATGTGTGCTGATCCTGAAGGTGATGCCGCAGCTGAGATTCTGAAAAGCCGCTTATCCAGATGGCTGAGAAAATCCTTCTTTTCGGCTGAACTACGGATCATATTATGCAGACGACAAATGATCGATGGACGTGTGAAGGATAAACTGCAGCTTTGGGTCATTTCAGTATGTCTATATACGTTACTGTGGAGTTAGTTGTATTGACCGCTCACTTCCCAAATGCATCCCTGAGCATCGTCCGACATGGCTAGCAGCAGGACAATGCAAGACAATTACTAGCTCATTTTGCGACCACTTGGTGAACTCAGGTTCTGCAGCTCAACCAGAGTCATCTTGTAAGATTATCTAGAGGGTGAAACCGAATGGTACAAAACACGTTAGTTTTCGGCTTTTGTTCATGGTGGAGGCACTCGTAATTCGTCAATACAACCATGAACTCTGTATACAGAAATCGTTTGTCCAGTCTCTCATTCTACCGTGGTCTTCACCTCTTCACCACTCGCTCCCTGTGAATTTAGTTTCATCTTTAATGGATACTTTGCATTTACTTTAATAACTAATTCACTATTATCATTCCCACATGTTCCTTTTGTACATTTTCTCACCCTCTTCACACTTGTCAAGTGGACACTCAACCAACTTCCTTCTCACTCAATAAAAATATCAACCTTGAATGCGGCATCTAGAAGACAAATTTCGCAAAGTGATGTCATTTTTTTTGATTATAGCTTGATTCTACACCGCAGTTTTGATACAAGTATGGAATTTTCAGCATGTGATATCGGTAGCCCAAATTTAGCAGGCCGACCATTGATATCGGGTGTGCGTCGGCAGGGGATCGAACCCCGGACCATGTGCATGGTCGGCGAGAGTTTCTTCACAACCACTTTACAACTAAGATGGTTAACAATAATAAAATATAGTTCATGACAATTACTCAATTAAATAAAAAACAAAATTACATACTGATGACCAATCACAGTTAAAAAGTCATGTTGTCCATGGTAGGCGAAGATTGAAGTCTATTAATTTTGGACGCACAGTTTAGGCTGTATGTGATTATTAAGCTGTAAAATCGTATATATATGGTTGTTTTATAAAAATTATATCGGGTGAGGGAATTAGGTCAAAGGTGTGAATACATGAAATAATAATACTATAAAATGCAATTAAAATATTTTTGATTATATTCATAATTCCATTATGGGTAAACCTTGATATGATTCTGGGCAATAAATTGTGCTCGAAACGTCATCAGTTAACATTACTGTATAACACTGTAAGACTTTATCAAAACAAAATTTACCCATAATGGAATTACACTCTACCACAGTGCACAAGTTTTATTCTTATATCGATTTTGGAAAGGGGTACATCATTATAAGATTAGTAGACGAATATATATTGTTACATAACATTGTGTGAAATTTGATAAGACAGAATTCAATACTGCAGAAATACAAATATAAAAATTAGTAATTTTGGGTTTGAAATATCAAGTGGGTCAAGTGGAAAAGATTCAGAGTGAGAGTGAGTAATAATAATAATGATATTAATATTTTTATGAGTTGATCACGGATTGATATCAGTTAGAGAAGCATTGAAAACCAGGGAGTCCCGGACAGCCGCTGTTTCATCCTAGTTTGGGAAATGTCGGCAGTACGCACACACTGGGATTCGAACCCAGGACCTTCCGGCCACAAGGCAAGCTCGTATACCATTTAGCCACTGAGACCGAATTCAATGGATGTCCCACCAACTACATTGGTTGGGGTCGCGAAAAATCACGGATTGGTAGAAGTTAGAATTCATAGTCTGAGTGCCCATTGAAACGGGTCCCATTGGCTGAATGGTATACGACCTTGCCTTGTAGCCTGAAGGTTCTGCGTTCGAAGCCTGGTGTTGGGTGCGTACTGGCGATGATTCATAAACTAGGATGGAACAGCTGTCCAGTACTCCCTGGTTTTCAATGCTTCTCTAACTGATATC